CTGACTGACTGACTGACTGACTGACTGACTGACTGACTGACTGACTGTTGTTCTGACTGACTGGACCTGCTGCTTTGCTGTGCCTGATGATCTCTGCTCTGTTTTTATGCAGCTCTGCAGGAGCGTGTTTGGATCAGCAGTCGTGCTCCTGCAGCTGGAAACGCCTCCGTAAGCTCCTCCTCTCTGCTGCCGTCCAGCTTAAATATTAACGTTTACTTGTGATGCTTATATTGTTTATTATATGTTCTTTCTCATGCATTTGTCTGCCTAGGGACTACGGATGAAAATTAGCTTTGTAGCTTTAATCCGGCATATTTACATTTGTTTTTATACTGATGTTCATTAATGTGCTTTGTCCTTATTCAAATAAATAAATAAATAAATAAATAAATAAATAAATAAATAAATAAATAAAATAAGTTTAAGGTGGTTCTCATTCCTCTGTTTCTGTGTTTTCAGACCAGAGAAGTCAGAGTCCCGGACAAACACAAACGCCATGCGACCTCCTCCATCCAGACCCAGAGGAAGCTCTGACCCCCCCCAGAGTCTCTGTATCTCATTCAGAGTTTCTCCATCTAATATGGATGGAGTTTCTCCATCTAAGGATTGTTTTACCAAACGTGCCTCAGATAAGGACCGGGCTGGTTTCAGAGGAATGACCGGTTCATAGAGTGAGACCTGAAATGGGCGTTTCCAAGTTTAAGTTCAAGAGCAAAGACACGTTGCCAGAAAAGTTTTGCTGGTTTAGGTAAGCCACTTAATATTAAGCCATCCACCTGTGAGTGCCTCCGGCTCCCTGTTTTATTTACAAATGCAAATACTGTTTGTTTTCTCATAACTTCACCCTGAGCTGAGAGCTGAATACACAGTGATGATTCTGGACTGGTATCCACGTGTATTTTTCAGAGTTCCTCATTCAGTTATTTTTTTAATGCTACTATAATTTGATGGGAACTATTATTTGACCCCTCCATGAATCAAACCCTGTTGAGAACGTGTTGTGAGCCTGTGTGTTTGGCTGGAACATTTCCGTAACTGTTCAACAAATGGTCAGAGGCCTGGAAATGGTCTCAGTGGAAAGTAAAATAGGTATAAAAGTGTCTTTGTCTTCCTTTCTTTCTGAACACTTGATCATTATGTGTGGTGGAGCTACAGGATCTACGATCTGAGCCTTTCACAGATTGTTTCACCTCCTTTGCTTTTGTTTTTTGTTTTTTTTTGTTTTTTTATTGAACATTTTGAACATAAGACAGACATTGTTGGGACAAATTCAAAGTGTCAATACAATCTCAGTGTCACAGTTCTGTCAACCCCCAATCCACCCACAGGCCAAAAAATAAACAAATAAACAAATGAATAAAAAAGGTAATTAGAAAAATGTATGAAAAAAATCAAAAGTATAAAGAGAAAAACAGATCAAAAAGGGTAGACATGAATGTAAATGTAGATAGATAAGTATAAATCATGTTAGACATTCAGGTATCCTCAGGGTCAAGAAGATTCAAAGAGTCTTGCTTTCGTTTTTAACTTCTAATAGAAATTAAAAGAACACTGTCTGATTTGGTTTCCCGGAAGGTGTAAAACTTGTTCTTTCTTTTCAAAACTTTTTGCTCGGTTGCCAGATAATGGGGGCTTTGGGGGGGGGGGGTGTTGTTGATGTGAAACTGCCCCGCCCTCAGCAGCATGTCTGGGTTTGCCCTCTCCGTTCCTGCTGGGACTCGTTTTCAGAGGTGGAACTGTGATGAAACCTCTCTCTAGACCAGTCTTTTTCAAGCTTTTTTGAGCCAAGGTTCAGTTTTTCATTGAAAAAATCTCAAGGCACAGCACCAACCAAAAATGTCAAACAAATCTGTATCTGCCTATAGTAACACTATAGTTATTTTTATTTTATTCTTATCTTATCCTAAGTGTCTTGAATAGGAATCAAATAAACACAAAAATGTATTTTTATCACATTTTATATTTCTTCTTTCAAATTGCACTTAACATGTCCACTTCAATATACTAAATTATTTACAAAATCTGGTCATAATGAATTATTACGTGATTACTCCACCAGTCACTAGAACAGCACACACACTCAAAAATGGCGTATTATTTGTAGAAAATTAATTCCTTATCAAAAATTTTTTTTAGACCAATTAGGTGAAATAGGATGATTTTCTACAGCACACCTGACCATCACTCACTGCACACAGTGGTTGAAAAACACTGCTCTGGATTAACTGCAGGGTTCCTGGAGCTATAAATAATGAGGCTGTGTGGTTTCCCTGTCACCTGGAGTCACGCACAATCTCCTTTTTATCCTCAGCCAGACCTGGCAACGCCCCTCAAAGAGGGCTGTCCTGTTTTCCGGGGATGTATGAGCATGCCTCCAACAAGTTATATGCAAAAGAGTCGGACATTTTTAGCCAAAAACAGCATTATCAAGCAGAATGGCATCCGAAATGGCATTTATTTATTTAGCCTTCATTTAACCAGGAAGTCACGTTGAGATTCAGAATCTCTTTTTCAAGAGAGACCTGGCCAAGGTAGCAGCCAAAACACAGGAACAAAATACATATTTACAACATATTACATTTTTCATAATAAAATCAGAGCAATATGTTAAAACACATTGAGCATCTCAAGAAAGACAAGCACATATCTCCATCACTACACTCTTCCTGGTCGCTTTAAATTCATTAATGGACACTAGAGTTTTTAATTTGAGCTCTTTCTGGAGGTTATTCCAGTAGGAGAATGCAGTTTTTCCCAACTCAGTTGAAGCTCGGGGTACATTAAAAAATAACCACTGATACTGATAACTACCAGAACTCACAGAGAGGAGGTTACAGAGGTACAGTGGGAGTTTACCAAGTATTGCTTTATAGATAAAGATATACCAGTGCTGTTTTCTACGAATTGTTAGTGATGTCCAACCAACTAGATCATAAAGAATGCAGTGATGAGTGAGGGACTTAGAATTTGTAATGAATCGTAATGATGCATGGTAAACTGAGTCAATATGACGCAAGATGGAGGATGCAGCATGCAGGTACAATATATCTCCATAATCAATCACAGAGAAAAAAGTAGCTTCTACAAGTTTCTTATTAGCACTGACTTGTTTCTGAAGTAAAAAGCAAGCTTTACTTTAAGCTTCTTCACTAATGTGTTGATATGTACTCTGGCATAAAGCCACACAGAAGGTGTTCAGGTCTTTATCAAACTGAAGCCAATGGCTGACTAAAAGGGAACTGTAGTGGCACTCTGCATCCCAAAAGTTCGTTGTACCACCTTTGCAGTTTGTCTAACAACCAATATTTGATTCACTCGACTGAAACCAAGTCTTCTTTTATGAGGTTTACTTAAAGAACTCAAAAACGTACACTTACAGAAAAATGAAAGGCTCAGAACAGATCGGTCAAAACATTGTGCTGTTTCCACCGTATCGAACTGCAATCTGAACTTAAACGTGCATACGGGCAATATTAATGTTACGCATTACGTAGTGGAAGCCAAAATGACTTTTCCCAATAAAAGCATCCTTTTACATTAACTAAGTTATACATTCTAGAAAATATACTCATCATGAATAGTAAATTAAGCATATCTATACATTTTTAATCTAAATTATTATTCTATATGAACTCCCCATTAACTGGCTCTTACATGAACTTTACGGCAGGTTGCACTCAAACTAAATGCAATTGGTCGTCTCACATTAGTTTTCTGAGTCATCACATAAAGACATTTAAGCCTTAAACCAGTGCAACACCCAGAAACTCGACAGGAAAGGGCGAGGGAGCTGGAAATGAGGGGAGAGATGCCGGCGTGTCCGAGCTTGAGCTGGGAGCTGCTGGGAGCCTTAATCCTGCAGTCTTTATGTTACATTTAAAGCAAAACCAACAGTGTGGGGGGCTATATGTCACCCAGAGACCTAAAACTATCATTCAGAAGGATTCATTTGCTTTTTATCTTGCACCAAACAATTAACCTCCTGAGACCCTGTGTCCTCATAAGAGGACGTTGCATTTTTGTCTCTCTTTACCATGATACTTCTTTTTTTCTTTCAGCTTTGACCTCTTGACCTCATAGCAGATGCTATCAGACACTGTTTGAAATCTAAAGTAAAATGGTTTTATACATTTCCATCCAATCATGTTCTTATTGTGTAATAGAAAAACTGTAAATGAGTCAATGGGACTGTCAGAACAAAATTGTAAAAACATTTAATTAAATATGTATCTCATATATCTTTAAAAAAAAAAGCTAAAATGCATGCCAAATAAAAGCTCGGGTCTACCACAGAAATAAATCAATAAAGTACAGAAAGCACAGACAAGGGCCAACTGAAGTGGGAAAAACAGACCAAAAACCTGAAAATCTACATTATAAAGTCACCAGAGGACAGATTTTGGGCAAGTTTTGTCACGGATTGTGAACAGAAAACATACAGAAGAGAGATAAAAGCCGAAAAAGAGTCCCAGTTTACGACTTGTTTATTTACAAGTTGTATTTACCCCCTCAGGGCACCAGGGGGCGCTCAAAGCCCCGTCTCACGTGTGGCCTCACTGTGCGTAAAGACGAGAACAACAACACAACAACACACTAACACACAAAAAGCGCCTCACACAACATGTCTGCGTTACAAAGTACAAATCTGAGAGGTGAAACACAGATATCCAGATACGTCTTAGCCAGAGAGAGGTGCGTGGGACCGTGTGTGTGTGTGTGTGTGTGTGTGTGTGTGTGTGTGTGTGTGTGTG